GTTAAAGGTCTTCCTCTCTTTCTGTGACCGTCTGCCTTCCCCAGCATGATGTCTTTTTCTAAGGATTGACCATTCTTGACAGCATGTCCAGAATACGTTAAACACATTCACAGCATTTAAAGTACAACTTCAAGTTTTAACTCATAGTACTGTCAGAGAAGATATCTATAAATCTTTTCTTAAATATTTAAATGATGCAACTATAAAGCTTAATTCTAGTATTTTTTAAAATTATTAAATTTTATTAATTTTAATGAACATTTACAGAGATTTGGGGTTTTCATTCATTCATTGTTGCACTGTTTTCTCTACCCTCCTCCCCAGTTCATTCCTCTTCCCCCGCCTTGAAAGTCTGTTTTAATTGCCCAGTTGCCACAGTGCTTGTCAAAGCCAGTTCTGATTAATCTCCTTTGTCATTGTGTCCTTTGCCATTCCCTATCACTCCTCCCTGAGAGAGACTTCACCCTGATTCATAAGGAAAAGGGGATGGCATATTCTCTTAGATATTTCCTGCCGAAAAGGGACACTGTAGGTTTCAGGGTGAAGATCTTCTCTCACTACTCTAAAGGGCCCCTTTGGCAATAGGAAACATGTAGACTATTACGGAGATTGATTTTGGAATTTAGATGCACTGTTATCTATTGTGCTTAGCCGTACATGTTCATATCCTTGAAGATGTATCATGGAACTGTTGTAGCCTAGAAGACACAAATTTAACTAACAAGTTAAAAGTACATGAGTCAAAAATTAAAAAGCAATAATATTCCAAGTAGAGGTTCCAATAGTGGCACAAATCAAGTTACAGAGGGAAGGTAGTTCTTAAAATAAAAGGCCTATGGACTAGCACTTTGTCTATTATAGTATAAAGGTTAGGAACCACAAGATATAGAGGCACTATGTCATTTATTGATCTTAAGCCCTGGAGCAAATTCCATCTACCACTGGGTTGTTTTACAACTTGGAAGTCCGCATGCAAGGCAGAGGTGAAGTAAGGAACTGCTTATGAGGTTTTCCTTCAATTCCAACAACTAAGAAATAGTGAGAAGAGTTGGGTCCTCAGAAGACATTTAGGACCAAGTAATAGGCTCTTGTGTCCAGGAGAAAATGAATATACTTACCAGTAATGTTAATGCTCACCCACAGCTCTTCTGGGAGGATCTAAATCATTGAAGCATCCTCCTTTGTTTCCAGCTGGGAGCTGGGGCCTGTCAGTCGTGTCAGCTGTGAGGACCTGATGTGGGCCACCCTTGGCCAAGTGTCCTTCAGATCCACACTTAAAGCAAGTGAATGGGAGTTTCCTCTCTACTCGCTTGCCTATCTGTGGCTCTTGTCTGTGACACTGTCTACTGAAGTGGCCCAGCTTTCCACAGTGGAAGCAATTCTGACCTCCTTTATTATGTTTGGGTGGCACTGTTTATGAGTAAGACTTCCTTTTCCTGACACAGGCCCTAAACTGGCAGCAATAGCTGCCCTAATAATTTTGGCCATTCTCTGGTCTTTTCTCTTCCCTCTAGATCCCAGTTGTTAAAATTGGGAAAAATTTAAACAAAGGTATAACAAATAATTTTGAACATTATAATCTTTTAAGCTTAAGGCTAGAGATATTAACAATATCATCATTTCCAATCCAGAGATACATGTTCCAATGCAGTTTCTATTTTCCATAAATTGTTTTGGTAAGAGGAATGTTGTAAATGTGAATACATTTCCACTATTCCTCGTCCATGTCACTATATAGTGTTATTAGCATGAGCAGTTATAAATCCATTGCCATCCTTACTCTAACGTAATTCTTTTTTTAATTCTAGTATTTTTAACACTAGATATTTTGCAATGCATTTTGATGGTTTGGAACTAAAGAGAGTGCCATGCAGGGTCCTGATAGCCCTTCACTGGTCAATGGAATGAAATGTAGAGTAGAAATTTAGTCACATGTGTGGAATGAGATTATACTGTACTGCACTGGAAAATTGCCTTCAGGTTTAGCCATGTTATTTCTATGAGAATCTTTAATTTGGAATAATTTGTCAAACATTTTTTAACAAATAGAAATTTTTCACTGTCCTAGGATATAAATGTACAAATTGTTGAGTCATATATAACTGTTGACAGTTTCACACAAAACCAGACAAAAGCTCCTACCATTACAGAGCTAACATATGAGTAATGGAAGATGTTGTTGTTGTTATGTGCCGTCGAAGCATCTGAGACTCATAGTGACCCTATATACAACAGTCCTAAACCCTGCTCTATCCTGTGCCAATCTTATTGTCTTTGATACACCTACCCCCATGACCCCAATCACTGAATCAATCCATCTCATCGAGGGTCTTCCTCTCTTGTACTGCCCCTCCATCTTCCCAAACATGATGTCCTTCTCCAAGGAAATAAAAGAACAAAATGTAAAAAAAAAAAGAAAAGAACAAAATGTATATTATTTGGAAGGACAATAATAGCCCATGAAGAACATACAAGCTGAAAGAGAGATAGATATGAAATCAAGAGGACACATTATTCTAAGCGAGTTAGTTTAGGAAGGACTTACTGACTGACACAGTCTTCAGTAGTTCCTTCTTTTTTATATCCTCTTTCACCAGCTCTTCAGAAGCTTTCGTTGCATCTTTTCTTTCTATTCTTGTTGCCATAACCTACTGTAAGGCTTTTCTTTTTTTGGCAGATTACTTAATTACACGCTTTCTCTTCCTGTCTAACTTTTATCAGCCTTCAACTACTAATTGATCTATTTCCAACTTGATCTGTTGAAAACAATTGAAAGCAAACTTCTTTTGCCTTTGTGTGGCCTTCCAAGGCACACCAGTTGATCTGAATTTACTTGAAGCAATTGAAAGAAATCAGAAATAGAGGAAATGGAATATGTGACTGATTAGCTTCATGAACAATTGCTTCCTTCTATGTGAGACTACAAGAACTGGATGATGGCTACTCCTATTACAGAACATTTTGTTCAGAATTTATACAAGAATCAAAAGGGAGAAAATGAAGAACAGAATTTTAGATTTTCTGTAGCTATGAAGGCAGGGTGAAGCACTAGAACCTATTGCTGTGAAATAATCTTTACATTTTAATATAAAAGTCTTCAGAAGTCCTTTAAGAATGAGACCAAACTACTCTGATTGTCATTTCACGTGTCTTTGTCATTTGAAAGCAAGCCTTCCATTAAGACTTTAATGAAGCTAAGCTTGCTTTCTAATGTTCTACAAGTACTTCTGTTCCCTTTGCTTCTATGCCTTTGTTCACAGCACTTTCACTGCCCACTTGCACATTTCAAACTCCTGTAGCATTTGTTAGTGCTTCACTTATTTTCATATTATGTAATATGCTATTTTGGATTGTAATTTATTGTTTCTTATATTTAAATATTCTCCGCATGTCTAGAATGCAAATTTGTTGAAAATATTGATGGACCAAATGTTTGCTTCTGAATGAGGTCTTTGGAACTTGGGATGTGTTTTTAATAAGAAAGAAAATATGTCATAAACACTGGCCATTCTCCCAACCTAGTCCCCACAGGGCTGTTCGTGTGAATTATAGCTGAAATATACTAATAGCAACAGGCCAAGTTCTCATAGTGTGAAGGATAGGAAGAAAAAAGCATTTGCTCCCCCTCTCCCCCGTCTTTGGGACATACAGAGATGGTTTTAGGCAAAACTTTGAAATAAGCAAATCTGCAATGTGTCTTTTATCTTATTATCCATTCTCCACCTTCTTGTCTTAGTTATCTAATGCTGCTTTGTCAGAAATAGCACAAGGAGGTGGTTTTAATTAGCAAATTTATTTTATTACTATTTAGGAGGCTAGAAGTCCAAATACCAAATACCATGCCAGCCCTAGGCGAAGGCTTTCCCCGTCAGCTTTGGGAAAAGTCCTTCTCTCTCCTGAACAACTTTTCAGTTCTTGGAGGATCTTCAAGTACTTTGATATCTCACTTTCTCCATTATCTTTGCTCAGTCTACTTCTTTTGTATCATGTAACAGATTGTCTCAAAGCACAGCCTACATTAATCTTGTCTCATTAATTTTTTTTTGTCAAGGTCACACAGTTAGTAAATGAGAATACAACTGGTCTCATTCCAAAACCACTAACTTTATCACTACATTATACTGTCTGCCAAGATAACTTCAAGTGAAGAAATATTTTAGTATTAATTACTGTGTTCTGACCTCTGCATGAGCAACTGTATTTGTGTGATCTGGAGAAGTATAAGAAAATGAAGTGAAGTTGTTCAGAAACTGTTGAAGGAAAGGTCTCAAAGTATAACTGTCACTCAGTGAGATACAGGAGCCCTGGTGACCTAGTCCCTGGGGAGTTGTGCTGCAACTCTGAGGCCATGCCTCACTAGCCTTGGAATCCTCTGTGATGCCTCCCATTACAGCCTCAGAAACCCAAGAGTTGGATTGACAGGATGGGAGTGAGAGTGAGTGAGCAGTAGTATAGTGGTTGGTATCTCTGTGTTAGATAGCTAAATGACCTACATTTGTCTTCTCCATTTCAGGACTCACATATTTTCTTTAAATTGTAAGAAATTTCAGGATATTTTACCAATCCACTTTGTGAAAAAGAAAAGAGTTAGTTGTCTGTTATTTATACATCAGGTACAACCTGTATTCTAGAATATTATCACTTCTCCACTTAAGCATTTACACACACAAACACACACGCGCGCGTGCGAGCACACACACACACACACACACACACACACATCTTCTATAACATGTGCACACAGCATGTAGCATAATGAAGGTATTTTAATTTCACTTTATGGATCAACACTTTTTCAGCTGATCTTGTGAAAAACTGTCTTTAATCTTGTACTTTAAGTGCAAATTGGTTTCTATAATTTTTTTTTAATTCATTAACAATATGCATTTAAATTTGGCCTTGTCCTTCAGGGATAATGAATTCTACTGTGATATCCATCTAAGAAGACTTTCAGCAAGTCAAAGCAGGACTCTTAACAGATTGTCTTTGCCTTTTGATAGGCACAGTCTTTGGCAGCGTCGCTCTCTACCAGACAGCTGTTGAGGATTTCTCGCCGTCTGTCACTGTATCCTAATGAAAATCTTCACAACGCTGTTACTAAAGCCTGCCTTTCCAGGTAACCATATTCCCCCTTGCTAAATTTAAACAATGTAAAAGAGGGGAAAACATGCAAATAAGTGATAATGTCTTCCATATCTTATGCTTGTCAAATTGGAATGGACTCATTAGCTGACCCTCCCGTCGATTTTTAGAAACTCTAAATTGCATGAGAGGAGACTGCCCAGTTTCTCCCTCAGAACCACCAGTGAATTCAGCTGGCTCCTGCCCCTTTTGGGTGAGCAATGCATCTCTCCACAGACTATGCCACAGAAGTAAACTGTAATATTTTTATAGAGAAAGTCAGTATTTATGAAAGTCAGAAGGATATTCACCACCCTAGAATTGTGTTTATACCCCAAATTGGTCAAGAAAGAATAGAAAATTTAAATTGAACCATAACCATGAAAGAAATGATAGAACTAGTTTAAAATCTCATAAAAATACTGTTCCTAGCTGGTTTTGTTTTTCACTTTTACCAATTTATCAGAAGATACAATCTTTATCTTACATTAACTACCCCAAATAACAGTCAGTATAAGCCCCCAGTTTGCTTTGAGTTTAACATAATCTTGATACTCAAAGTTGTTGTTAGGTGCTGTTGAGTCAAGTACGACTGATTCATGGCGACCTTATGAACCATAAGTTCATAAGACTGGTCTGAATCCAGTCCTATCCTGTGCCGTCCTCACCACCTCTGATACACTTGAACCCATTGCTTCAGTCACCAAGTCAATCTATCTCGATGGGGCTTTTCCTCTCTTTCACTGATCTTCCACCCTTCCAAGATTCTTATCCTTTTCCAAGGACTAGCTTCTCTTAGCAATATGTCCATAGTAGGAGAGACACAGCTTTGCCAAGGAGCACTCTTGACTGGACCTTTTCCAAGACATAATTGTTGTTTCTTTGGCAGTCCATGGGACATTCAGCACTCCTCTCCAGCACCACAACTCAAAGGCATCAGTTCTAGAATCCTTATTCATTGGTCCAGCTCTCAGATGTATGTATTGGAAAGACCATGGCCTGAATAAGGAGCACTTTAGTCTTCAAACTGACATCATTACTCTTTAGTATTTTGGAGAGGTTCCTGACAGTGGATTTACCCAAATCAATGTCTCCTTATGTCCTGACTGCTAATACTAAGAATGTTGTCTGTGGATCCATTAACATTTTCAGTCTATGAAGGAAAAGTTGTACATTGAACTCAAGCAGTGGATTTAGAAATTCTAAATAAATTACAATCAAATCTAGATATTTTTGAAATCATGAAAAAATTTGAGATAATCTCAGGAATATGAAGCTCAATATTCTATTCTTTAGTTTACTGTACTAACAGATTATTGTCCTTAGTTACTGTCAATGGAACTCTGGTAGAGTAGACCACAGAGACTTGTACTGCTAACCCAAAGACGTACCTCTCTGCTGCTTCTAGTCCAACAGCAGCTCCAAGAAGAAAAATAGGCACAGGCAATCTCCTTTTCTGCAGTTTACAGCCTCTAAGGCTCTTCAGGACTGTGGAGAGATCACAGACATCAAACTTTCCCAGTGCAATACATCTTCTGATCTGACTACTGTTACCAGGAGTGTTGACTCTGGATCCAAGTAAGGTGACATTGCTAACAACTTCAAGATATATCTGTTCATTCTTTTGGTTGTCTATGGGATGTCCAGTGCTCTTCTCCAACACCACAGCTCAAAGGCATCAATTCTTTTTCTGTCATTCTTATTCATTGTCCAGCTCTCAAATGCATAGCAAGTGATAGGAAAGACCATGGCTTGAAACAGACGCACCTTAGTCTTCAAACTGACATCATTGCTTTTCAGTAATTTGGAGAGGACCCTAACTTCAGATTTTCCCATTGTAATGTGTCCCCATATTTCCTGACTGCTGGTACCAAGGGTGTTAATTGTGGATCCAACCAAGATTAAGCAGTTGACAGTTTCAATCTCCTCTCTATCCATCATGACTCTGCCTATTGGTCGAGTGGTAAGAATTTTTGTTTTCTTGGTATTGAGATGCAATCCATACTGAAGGCTGTATTCCTTGATCTTCTACAACAAGTGTTTCAAGACTTTCTCACTTGCAGTAAGCAAGGTTATGTCATCTGCATCACACAGGTTATTGATGAGTCTTCCTCCAGTCCTGATGTCACACTCCTCTTCACAGAGTCCAGCTTCTCGGATAATTTTCCCAGTATATAGATTGAATAGGAGAGAGAATACAGCCCTGATGCACTTCCTTCTCAATCTTAAACCACAGAGTGTGTCCCTGCTCTCATTGTACAACAGCCTCCTGATCCAGGTATAGGTTCCACATGAGCCCAATCAAATGCTCTGGGATTCCCATTCTTCTCAATGTCAGACACAACTTGTTATGACTTACAGAGTCAAATACCTTTGCATAATCAATAAAGTGTAAATACACATCCTTCTGTTATTTTTGACTTTCAGCCAGGATCCATCTGACATCAGCAATGATATCCCTGGTGCCACAGCCTCTTCTGAATCCTTCTTGAGCTATCTGTGCACTTTTCTATCCATTTTTGGATAATCTTCAGCAGTATTTTGCTTGCATGTAATATTAATGATATTGTTCAATAGTTTCCACATTCAGTTGGATCACATATCTTGGGAATGGGAACAAATATGGACCTCCTCCAGTCCATTTGCCAGACAGCTGACCTCCAAATTTCCTAGTATAGATTGAGTATAGAGCACATAAGTCAATTGATATCCCATCGATTCCCATTGATTCTATTTTCACTTAAAAAGTATTTCATTTAGTAGACAAAAGCACAAAGAAAACTTCTAGCCTAAGTGTATTAAATAGACATGCTCACCAAGCTGTATTGGGGAATTAGGAGGACAGCTACCTGAAAAATCAACTGGAAGAGATCAATATTTGTTCCTGTTTCTAAAAAAAGCTGACCCAACAGAATGTGGAAATTACCAAACAGTGTCATTAATACCACTTGCAAGTAAGATCTTGCTGAAGCTCATTCAAAAACAGGTAGAACAGTACATTGACAGAGACCTTCCAAAAATTCAGGCTGGATTTAGAAAAGGCTATGACACAAGGGATATCATTGTTGATGCTAGATAGATCCTGCCTGAAAGCAGAGAATTCCAGAAGAATGTCTCTTGGTTTTTCTTTCTTTTTTAAAAAAGCATCTTTTTAATTATTTTTTGTGTGTACCATCAAATTAGATCTGACTGGTACAGAAGGAGATTATCCCTCCTTCGCCAGCAGAGCATCTGGTCGATTTGAGCCATGCACTTCTGGAATTGCAGTGCCAGCTTCTCGCCACTAGGCCACCAGAGCTCCCATCTATTGGTTTTTCATTGACTATGAAAAGGTACTTGAGTGTCTGGATCATAACAAATAATGACCGACTTTGAGAAAAATGGGAATCCTGAAATACTTAATTGTGCTCATGTAAAACTTATGCCTAGACCAAGAAGCTATTGTCAGAACAGAACAAGGGAGAACTGTGTGGTTTAAAGTCAGGAAAGGTTTGTACTAGAGTTGCATCCCATCTCCATACCTATTCAATCTGTATGCAGGAAAAAGGCATTCTGGAAGCTAGACTCTATGAAGAAGAATGTGGGTTTAGGATCAGTGGATGACTAATCAACAATCTACATTATGCAGATGACACAATCTTGTTTGCTAAAAGTAAGGAGAATTTGAAATGCTTACTGTGTAAGATCAAAGACTACAACCGTCATAATACGTTACATATTAACATCAAGAAAACAAAAATTTTCACCACCGGACAGATAAGCACATCAAATTAGATGGAGAAGAGATAGAAATTGTCATTGACTGCATCTTGCTTGGATTCACAGTCAACCCCCCTGGCACCAGCAGCCAAGAAATAAAAAGACGTATTGCAATGGGAAAAGCCTGCTGTGAGTGACCTCTCTAAAGTGCTGAAAAGCAAAGATGTCTATTTCTAGATGTAGGGAGTGTCCATTCAAGTCATGGTTTTTCAGTCACTTGCTGTGCATCTGAAAGACAGCGAATAAGGATGGCAGAAGAAGTATCAATCCCTTTGAGCTGTGGTGCTGGAGAAGAGTGCTGAATATCTTATAGACTGCCCAAAGGACAAATAAGCATGTCCTGGAAAAGGTGCAGCCAGGGTGCTCCCTGGCGGCACAAAGAATGAAACTTTATCTGGCATACTTTGGGCATGTTGTTAGGAGGACCTAGTCCTTGGAAAAGGACATTGTACTTGGGAAGTTAGAGGTATGAGAAAGAGGGGAAGACTCAATGAGATGGATTGACACTGTGACTGCAGCAATGGACTCAAGTGTGTCAGAGATGATGAGGATGGCACAGGATAGGGCAGGAGTCACATCCACTCTTTGTAGAGTCACTGAATTATTTGAGTTAAAGTTGATTTGACAGCCCTTGTTTTGACAACAGTCTTGTTTGTATAATTATAATATCATATCATATCATATAATAGAATTAATATAGTATAATATAATTAATATAATATAATAAATATAACATAATAGTATAATTTGTGAAGTAGTCTTTTTTGTATTTGTGCTGGTTGAGTTCAGAATGGAATATTTCCCTGTCTGAAGGAAGGACTCCTTAAGTCTTTTAGCTTCATAGTCTTCATAATCAACTCTCTGAACTAGCTGCATAAGTTATTTTCTAGTTATTTGAAGATATTAGGAACCAAAAGGAAGATTAGAAGATTATCAGGTATTTTACATTCCAAAGATTCTTTAGTTACGAAAGAACATGGAGTAGAGAGTCTGAATAATATTTTACTTCCTTTTATTTTCTTTCTTTCTTTCCTGAAAATCTTGTGATGATGACCTGCTAGCACAGACATTTTAGGCAGAAATTAAAACTTTAATCAGAAGTTAAGATTAAATGTTTTTGAAATTTATGCAATGTGGAAATCTTTCCACTTACCGTAAACTGTTTTGTACAGAATTGTTAAAGAAAGAACCATGATCTCATATGAATGATGTCTATAGAACATTTTGATACTATTA